TTATGGATGGACAAATTCAATCATTAAATTGTTCAATATATTGGGTTATGCATATGGAGTCCCAACAGAAGATTCAGCAGTTGCAATAAAAATCTGTCACCATCGGACTGGAGTCTAACTTCTTCAGGATGAAAAGGGTGCAAAATGGACACTGCCCCGAGGGTTCTGTCTGCTCGAATGGCGAAGACCTCAGTGAATTCACCAACTATGTATACCTATGAACTCGTTAAAGGGGAAAGTCAGGAGAATAAAGCAGACGGCTTGTGTCAAGTTCAACGGCATTAAGACGTCAATCCTCGTGAATGAGCCGCCACGCGGGCGAAGAAAGAAATTCTTGCTGCATTCGTCCTACATGTTATGGTTTATGCCGCTGAATGCTCTCCTGCGATTGAAGTTGAGGATAACAAACTGATGATCATGAATAGAGCGAGGAAAAGAACAGTTTGCAAGATGTCCAGTAGGGATTATGTTCCGAGCGCACAAATTCGACAATGGACAGAAATAACAGACGTGCTCTCTGTCTCGTACGTCGCGTAGAGAAAATAAGCCGGTCATGTGGTTCGCCTGAAACATAACTGATGAACGCCAAGAATTAATAACTGGATTGCGCTGGACCATAAATGACTTGCGCAGTCGTCAAGGAACAAGCTGAGATGATCTGCTGGTGATTACTTGACCAGCAGACGGAAGCAGAAAGGAAAAAATAGAGAAAACTGGAGAAGCGCCGACTTGCATACCTAGCAAACCTACAAGGAGGGCCAATCGGGTAACGGCTGCAGTTCTACTCTGCGCATGTTATACTAAAGGCTAGCTAAAAGGAAGAATTCAGGAAAATGACCTCAGCCGTAGAAGACATTGGAAAAGTAATTAATTGCCGTGAAAAAATGCACCATACTGATTGAAGACAAACTGCGAATGAAGGTTAAGATAAAGCATGTCAAATTGGGATGCAACGACGCCGTGAAACATTCACGATTAAGCTCAACAAGCCGGCGATATACGATGAATTAAAGGATCACAGAGATTTAAAACGAAATAAAACATAAACTGCAAATTAATTTAAGCGGTGTCATAAAAATTTGGGGGAGGAGGGGCAGCGTAGCGGTTGTACAATTGCAAAGTAACCACCTGGAACTCTGGAGAAAAGACTTTTATTGTCTTAACCCGACGTCTTTCCCCTTGAGCAACGAATTAATCCGACGGTGCTTTGGCGCAATCAGCTGAAATATGGGTAGCGATTCACTGACTACACACAACAGAGACAAAATGACGTTCAGGTGCGACAGTACCAAAACAGACCAGGTTCACGGTCATGCCGTTCGACTAGAACTCGTCATGTGGCAGCATTTAGTCATGCTCCGACTGATAGCTGACCGTAAAATGTGATGGTCAGCACAAAGTTGATCCCAGAAATAGAAAATTCGTTTTTCTACGGGAAAAGGACGTTGAACTCACTCCAACCGAGGCAAGATATTAGTTACTGCTAATCTTTCAGTTGTCGCAATTGTTTTCGAACCTCTTTGTCTGCAAGTTGTTGAGTGCAGTTCAACAACGTTATAGCAGTCATAAAATAATTGTATGTGAATAATTCCAGCTTCAAACAGCGAAACACCATTTATTAGCAGTGCATATCACTTCGGTTGTGCCTTGGTTTGATTGCAGTTTAGAGAATGAAAAAATTTTAGCATCGAGATGTTTTCCGTATCCGTTTTCAAATACTTCCAGGCTTTTTCGACGCGTGATTGATTTCAATCCCTGCATATTCGAGGTGCGAACTGTCATTCCGAAGTTGAAATATTTTTTAACGACCGCAGGTTCAAGGCTGCATTTTTCGTTTGTTTGGGTAGCACCGATTTACGTAGCAGCAACCGGTGACAAAGCCGGCCAGAAAGGCTGAAGAATACAGCGAGGAATGAATGAAAATTGGCTAGTAGTCATCATGATGCCATACTTACATTGAAGCTACGCTGTGCATACCGGTGTTTGGCGATCACTGTTGAGCGTGACAAGGCTTAATGGTGGAACTGCGAATCAAATGGCCAAGTGCAGCGGCATTCAGAAAGCTTGAAGCACCACCACACACCGTGTCGCTCGGTGCAAAAGTTGGAACACAAAGTGTTCCCTAGTCGCCGTGCCGAATCAGCCTAAAAATTCGCCCCTACCGAGCAAATTGCTGTTTCGGATCTCTGATGGTGGTTGAACGCATTGCATGACAGTGCAGATCAACTTGGTTTTCGTTGAGTGGCTCCCAGGCGTCGCGATTAAACCGATCTTAACTGAACTGGATACTATCATGGACTAAGTCACGAACGAACCAGAAGAGTTTGTCGAAACTTATAATGAGTGTGTACGCTGCCGCGTCAGTTAAACAGGACTTGTCATTTCCCACTTGAACGATTTAA